CACACAGGCCCCGCCCCCCAACGGCCCCCGGAGGTCATTAAACCTGTTTGAAACCCGACAGACGACTCTTCGGCGGAGCCGTCCGACCCCGTGGAGACTCCCTCTGACATCACGCCCGTGGACCAATCAGAGCCCCTGGATCGCGACGAGGGGCGGGACTTCGGCGTGGCGGAGGCTGCCCTACGAGACGGTACACACACGGGGACACAAAGGGACACACACAGGGACACAAAGGGATACGAAAGGACACACAAAGTGACACACAAAGGGACACAAAGGGGACACTAAGGGACACACACAGGGACACGGGGACACACAAGGGGACACACACAGGGGGACACAAGGACACAAAAGGACAAACACAGTAAGACACAAAGGGACACACACAGGGACACAAAGGGACACACACAGGGGGACACACAAGGACACAAAAGGACAGACACAAGAAAACACAAGGGGACACACAAGGGACACACACAGGGAGACACACTGGGACACACGCAGGGCCACGAAAGGAAACACAATGGGACACGTAAAATGACACACAAGGGGACACACAAAGGGACACACAAGAGGACACACAGGGACACAAAGGGACACACAAAGGGACACACAAGGACACACAAAGGGGACACACACAGGGACACCAAGGGACACACACAGGGACACACAAATGGACACACACAGGGACAGACACAAAGGGACACACGATGGGACACAAAAAGTGACACACAGGGACACACAAAGGGACACACACAGAGACACACACAGGGACACACGATGGGACACAAAAAGTGACACAAAGGGACACACACACAGGGACACACGCCCTGCTCGCCGCCGTTTCCGTAGTAACCGTTTCTCTGCCGTGGCGTCCGCAGTGGCCAATCAAGTACATATCCAACTCCCCCACATCCAAGTCGGACATTTTGATTAGGTCACCAATAGAAGATCCCAGGCAAGAAAATGGTAATTGCTTCATGGCAATATAGACATTAATTTAAAATTAAAAATAGTGTTCTCAGGGGCTGGTAAATAGTTTGTTTCCCTTCTGAAAACGGCTCAAAACAAACACCTCCAGTGT